CCCTCCCTCCCTCCCTGCCCCCCCCCGGGAGACTCACATGGAGGTGACGCCGGGCAGGACGTTCACGCAGGCCGCCAGCCGCTGCTCCACCAGGGCCCTGCGGAGACCGGCCGGGGGCGGGGGCGCTCAGCAACCGGCCGCGCTCCCCCCCACCCCCCCGCGGAGACCACCCCCCTCGTCCGCCCCCCCGACGAACGCCCCCCGCCCACCTGGCGAGGTCCTTGGCCACCGTCTCGTTGGGGCAGGTGACGAAGGCGGCCGAGAGGCTGTTGCCGGCCGCGGGAGGCAGAGGAGGCTCGGCCGCCATGGAGGAAGAGGAGGAGGAGGAGGAGGCGGAGAAGAGGCGTCCGGGGAGCATCAGCAGGAGCAGCACCGACGCCGCCGCCGCCGCCGCCGCCACCTGCGGGGGAAGCAGAGACGGGGCGGTCGGAGGGGGAGCGATAAGAGGGGGGACCCCTCGGACCGCGGTAGCACCCCCACCCTCCGCCCCCCCCACATCCACACCGGGCGGCGCTTACCCCAAAGGCGCCCGCGGGCATCTGCAACCGGCAGGGGGCGCCCCTCTGCCCGGGCATGGAGCCCGCCCCCCCCACCCGACGTGACACCCACCCCCCGAACCCGCCTCTCCGACGCCGACGCCGGGGGGGGGGGAATCCCCGCGCTGGCCCGTCCGGGGCTGAGAAGGAGGAGGAGGAGGCGGCTCCGGTACCTGCTTCCTGTCGCGTCCGCCGCACGACCCGACGGTGCCCCGCCCCCCCGGCCACGAGGTTGATACGTCAGGCGGAAGTGCAGCCGGGGGAGGGGGCGCCAACCTGCCTCCGACAGCCCGCCCCTTCCGTGCGCCCCCTCCCCTCGGCGGCGACTGCGGGGGTGGGGGCTCCGGCTGCCGCCCCGGTTGGACAGTTGCCTGGCTTGTGGTGGGGAGGAAGCCCCCCCTAAATCAGCTCAATGCCCCCCCACTGCTCCAGGGCTGGGTTTGGGGGGGCAAAGGACCCCCACGTATCCCCCTAACCCCCCCCGAGGGGTCCGAGGTTGCCCTGGTGCCCAGCCTCCCCCCCCCCGCAGTGAATCCCTCCGCTGGACCGGCTGCCCCGGAGGCTGCGAAGCGAGGAGCCGCGTTTGGGGGGGTCTCCGGGGGGGCTGAATCAAACAACCCCCCCCAAAAAAAGACTGGCCCTTCCGACGCAGCTGGCGGGCAGCTCGGCTCCCGGGTCGTTTGTGTCGATGCCCCCGAGGGGGTGGTCGTGGGGATGGGGCTGTAAGGGGCAGAGGGACCCCTCCCCATTGGAGAACAGGGGAGCCCCCCCCGGGTTTCCCCGTTTCCCAGGCCTGGGGTAGGAATGGGGGCTTCCGCGCCCGCCCTCCCTCCAAAAGTGTGGCTGGTGGAGGGGTGCCCAATGCTGATGGTCTCGAAGCAGGATTGCGGGTGTCCCCATCTCCTTTGCCCCCTCCCCCAGCAAATTCTGGGAGCAATAAGGCCTCTCCCTCCCCCCAGAACCCCCCCTTCTGGGCCAGGGACCCTACTCCTGACCAGACCTCCTGCTTCCCTTCTGTGCTCGGGAGGGGCTGGTGGAGGCTGGCTTGAACCCCCCCCTGTGGGGAGGGGGTCTCCTAGGAGGGCTTGAGCCCCCCCCATTCCTAGAGCAATTTTCTTTTGGGGTTGCAACTGGGTCTCTGTGTCATTTTAGATCAGGGGTCTTCCAACTTGGCCCTTTGATGACTTGTGGACTTCAACTCCCAGAATTCCTCAGCCAGGCACGCCTGGGGCGTGCCTGGCTGAGGAATTCTGGGAGTTGAAGTCCACAAGTCATCAAAGGGCCAAGTTGGAAGACCCCCATTTTAGATTGTTTTAACTGGGCTGTGTCCGTGGTTTTACTGTGGGTTTTATTATGTATTTATCTATTATTTTTACAAATAACTCAAGCCGTTGAACATATGCAACACATCTTCCTCCTCTTATTTTCCCCAACCACAACATCCCTGTGAGGTGGCTTTCACGCAGCAAGAACTACTGGCCCAAAGTCACCCAGCTGGCTTTCCGTGGCTAAGGCAGGATTTGAACTCACCGTCTCCGGCTTTTGAGCTTGGTGCCTTAACCACTAGCCCCAACTGTTTTTATCTGTTTCTAAGGATTTTGGTTTGTGCTCTCTGCTGTCCAGAGTCTACTGGAATTGGGCGGCTATAATAAATGAATGAATGAATGAATTATAATATAATAATATAATATAATATAATATAATATAATATAATATAATATAATATAATATAATATAATATAATATAATATAATATAATATAATAATATAAATAATAATAAAGTTGGAAGGGATCTTGGAGGTCATCTAGTCCAACCCCCTGCTCAGGCAGGGGACCCTATATACCATTTCGGACAAATGGCTGTCCAGTCTCTTCTTAAAAACTTCCAGTGTTGGCGCATTCACCGCTTCTGGGGGCAGGTGGTTCCACTGGTTAATTGTTCTAACTGTCAGGAAGTTTCTCCTTATTTCTAGGTTGATTCTCTCCTTGATTAGTTTCCATCTGTTGCTTCTTGTCCTGCCTTCAGGCACTTTGGAAAATAGCTTGACTTCCTCTTCTTTCGGGCAGCCCCTGAGATACTGGAAGACTGCTATCATGTCTCCCCTCGTCCTTCTCTTCGTTAAACTAGACATACCCAATTCCAGCAACCGTTCCTTATATGTTTTAGCCTCCAGTCCCCTGATCATCTTTGTTGCTCTTCTCTGTACTCTTTCTAAAGTCTCAACATCTTTTTTACATCGCGGTGACCAAAACTGGATGCAGTATTCCAAGTGTGGCCTTACCAAGGCATTGTAAAGTGGTATTAACACTTCACGTGATCTTGATTCTATCCCTCTGTTAAGGCAGCCTGGAAGAATTGTGTTGGTCTTTTTGGCAGATGCAGCACACGGCTGGCTCATATTTAAGATCTGAAAATGGAAACTGAAAGATCAGGGCACAAACTGACCACAGTGGGCCCAGGGGTTAGCAGCATACCCCCCCCAAATACCCCACACACCTTGGACAGCACTTAGAAAATTTGCACATTGGTAAACTTTTCTACCTGTCAATTACAGACGGCCACACGCTCCGCATGTCGGCTACACTGATCCATTATTGATATTTGTAGATCGGGGTTGAATTGTGAGGGGGGTCCTTGGGGGGTCTCTGGGCTGGGTGGGTTTTCTTGCAGGCGTTTCACTTCCAAACTAGGTAATTGGGCAGCATTATTAAACATATCCATTATTATTAAAAACAGCAGCTTTAAAATCGCTAACTGCTCTGCTGGCTGATGCAGTCCAACAGCATCTACTAAGAGTCCTCAACTTGCGTCCAATGGCTTAGCAACTGTTTGAAGCTCTGACGGATCTACAGGGGGGCGGGGCGGGGGCAGTTACGACCCAGATTTGAAATTTCTGTGGCTGGAGGCGAGGGTTACGACAATTACATAAACACATGGCAACCGGGCTGCATGTAGTCATTTATAAATTATGGCGTGGCCATTTTACAACCGTTTTGTCAAAAACCCACATTTCCTTCCAGTTTTCCGCAAAGCTGGCTCATAGCCATTAACTAACTACCATAGTGGTGGCTTCACCCCCGTAGCAATTGCCTAAGAACTGCCACAAAACAGTCATAAAATTGTCTGTGTGTGTGTGATGCAACCAGCCCACTTCATGACCGTCAT